TCCCAAACCAAGCTTTTAAGCCCATGCTAAAATAGTCAAAAAAAGTCAAAAAGCTAAAAAGCCAACCCACTTCCCAAACGGAGGCTTAATTTAAAAATTAAGTTACTAATTTAATTTAATTTGGGAAAAACCCTCTAAATTTATTTTACATTTTATTTTGAAAAAGCTGAAATAGATGTGACAACTTCTCAAAACTCAACCAATTATTGATTGCCTTTGGTGGCATTGACGTGGCATGCCTCAAATTAATCCAAACCAATCAATGGATTCCACACTGGGTCCCACACAATGGATGGCTTAGATTGATTTGAGACAAAGCCACAGGAGCATTGAATAAGTTTTCCCAAAATTCGGTCCCACCCATCATTCCCCATTTACGAAAAACCTGACCCATGAACCGAGGGTGGGTGGCATCGTGGTTCAAACCAGAGGATTAAGCTCTCGTGCCACGGGTTCATTTTTTTTTGGGCCAATTTTTTGAGTGTAATATAATTGGTTAAGAGGTTAGATTTTAACTTGTCTAATTAATATTTGGTATGAGTTTAATACTCTCTTATTGTGTAAGTCTTGACTTGAGTATAGCTTGTCTTGAAAGATCGGGGTAAATTATCTTGTAGTCTTCTCGCTCGGAACAGTTAACAGAACATCCTGGTGAACTCTGCAAGGGATGCTGCCTTGGACCCACGGGGGAATAGGAATGATTTTCCTGTAACCAAAAAAAAAAAAATTATATATAGATTGCAAAATCTGAATTGGAAGGGATTATTTTGGCTTGTGTAACTTGTTAGTAGTTTTGTTTTAATAATTCAAATAGTTTATTTTATTAAATATTTTATATATATATTATTTATATAAAAAATTAAGTCAATTTAATAATTATAATTTGTTCAATTTATTATTTTTTTAAAATAAAAAATGAAAGACCATTGTATTTTTTAAAAAAGCATTATATTTTTTTTATGACAAAAATAATAAATTGAACAAGTTACAGTTATCGAATTGACTTAATTTTTTTTGTATGAAATACACGAAATACCCAACAACATAAATGATTCGAATTATCAAAACGAGACACACATGGGCCTCACGAACCTAAACAGCCCATCCAATTCAGATTTTAGACGGGAGGAATTGTCCACCATATAGATTATAGAAATGGTAAATTGTCAATAGTCCTAATAGTTAGGCTTAATTCATATTAAATCCTATTAAAAGTTAGTCTTAATAAAATCATTACAAAAAATATTTTTTGTGACAATTTTTTTACACACGTAGCTAAAAATTAATAATTAGTGACTTTTTTTGTCACAATTTTTTTTAATTATAAATTGTCACTGAAATTACATTATCACCAAAACAAAGACAAGAGGAAAAAAAAAATACATGAACAGTAAAAGCGTGGTTATCATCCACGTTTTTTTTTGTGAACAGTAAAAACATGGTTCACAACCACGTTTTAAGAAGATTGGTGAACAGTAAAAACGTGGTTCACAACCACGTTTTAAGAAGAAATTTTTTTTTAGTTAAAAGCGTGGTTCACAATCACGTTTTCAGAAGAAAAAAAAAATTTAGTTAAAAGCGTGGTTCATAATTACGTTTCAAAAAAAAAAAAAATTCAGTTAAAAACGTGGTTCACAATAACGTTTCATAAATTAAAAATTTAATTACAAGCGTGGTGTGAGAGCCACAAAAACGTTAAAAGCGTGGTTATGAACCACATTTTAACTTAGTTTGAAAATTCTGCCCAAACTAAGCTTAATTTAAAAATTAAGTTACTAATTTAACTTAATTTGATAAAAGCCCTCTAAATTTATTTTACATTTTATTTTGAAAAAGCTGAAATAGATGTGACAACTTCTCAAAACTTCAAGCAATTATTGATTGCCTTTGGTGGCATTGACGTGGGATGCCTCAAATTAATCCAAACCAATCAATGGATTCCACAGTGGGTCCCACACAATGGATGGCTTAGATTGATTTGAGACAAAGCCACAGGTGCATTGAATAAGTTTTCCCAAAATTCGGTCCCACCCATCATTCCCCGTTTACGAAAAACCTGACCCATGAACCGAGGGTGGGTGGCATCGTGGTTCAAACCAGAGGATTAAGCTCTCGTGCCACGGGTTCATTTTTTTTTGGGCCAATTTTTTGAGTGTAATATAATTGGTTAAGAGGTTAGATTTTAACTTGTCTAATTAATATTTGGTATGAGTTTAATACTCTCTTATTGTGTAAGTCTTGACTTGAGTATAGCTTGTCTTGAAAGATCGGGGTAAATTATCTTGTAGTCTTCTCGCTCGGAACAGTTAACAGAACATCCTGGTGAACTCTGCAAGGGATGCTGCCTTGGACCCACGGGGGAATAGGAATGATTTTCCTGTAACGGACCAAAAAAAAAAAAAAAATTTATATATAGATTGCAAAATCTGAATTGGAAGGGATTATTTTGGCTTGTGTAACTTGTTAGTAGTTTTGTTTTAATAATTCAAATAGTTTATTTTATTAAATATTTTATATATATATATATTATTTATATAAAAAATTAAGTCAATTTAATAATTATAATTTGTTCAATTTATTATTTTTTTAAAATAAAAAATGAAAGACCATTGTATTTTTTAAAAAAACATTATATTTTTTTTATGACAAAAATAATAAATCGAACAAGTTACGGTTATCGAATTGACTTAATTTTTTTTGTATGAAATACACAAAATACCCAACAACATAAATGATTCGAATTATCAAAACGAGACACACATGGGCCTCACGAACCTAAACAGTCCATCCAATTCAGATTTTAGACGGGAGGAATTGTCCACCATATAGATTAGAGAAATGGTAAATTGTCAATAGTCCTAATAGTTAGGCTTAATTCATATTAAATCCTATTAAAAGTTAGTCTTAATAAAATCATTACAAAAAATATTTTTTGTGACAACTTTTTTTACACACGTCGCTAAAAATTAATAATTAGTGACTTTTTTTGTCACAATTTTTTTTAATTATAAATTGTCACTAAAATTTACATTTAGTGATACTTTTTTTATGATGAATTTTTTAAATTGTCATTAAAAACTGAAAATTAATAATTTTTTTGTGACAATTTTTTTAAATTGTTGCTAAAATTTATAATTAATAACGTTTTTTATGATAATTTTAAAAATAATTGCCAAAAACAATTAATGACATTTTCTAATAATATTTGATAAAAAATATTATTAATTATCATAAAATTTATTAGACAATAAGTCAACTTACTAATCCCTACCCACAAGTCCCTTATAGAAAATGACAATATGTATGTATATATCCCTCTCATTCTCGACTCCCTCTGTTCCAAAATATTAGTCTCATATTTAATTTTTTATTTTTCTAAAATATCAGTATTTTTTCAAAAATTAAGGGCTAAAATAATATGAATTTTCTATTTTGCCTTTCTTTTAAATTCATTAACAATATAAAAAATATAATTATGACAATTAATATTATCAAAAAACATATACTATCAATGATAATTTTGAAAAGTTAATATTTTCAAAATGTAATAAATATATTATAAAAAAAAAAGAGAGTGAACTTTCTAAAAAAAAAAAAAACCATTTAGTGTGTTTGGTTTTAATTTTCTAGATTCAATTTTATAAAAATTGAGTTTTTTATTTTGTTTTTAGTGAATATTTTTAAAATTTTAAACAATTTTTTTTTTTACTTTTTTAGATTTTCCTTATTTAGATATATCTAAAAAGTAAAAGATTTCTAAAAAACAAATATTTTAAAAAATCAATAAATACATAAGAATATAAAAAATGTATTGAATTCTCGTATTTTTTTAAAATAATTTTGGTATTTAGTGAATTTTTTAAAGATTTTTTTCACAAATATTATAATTCTTAAGTGTATTTATGTTAGGTGTATTTAAAAAAATAAAAAAATTACTTAGAATATTAAAAAGATTCAGTGAAAATAAAAAAAACATAAAAAACAAATGTAGGTAGTGTTTGATAGAGTTTAGAATTATAATTTGAGAATAGAGTTGTATTTTGAGTTTGTGAGTTTTGGAATTATAATTTGAAAAGAGAAAATTTGTTTGGTTATGAGTTTTGAATTTTTGATGTCATATATGAAATGAGAAAACTTGTTTGCTTATGAGTTTTGAAAAAGATTTTCAAAATTTAATTGAAAAACTTATAACTCATAACCAAACACACAATTCAAAACTCTATTGAAAATTCTATTCAAAACTCATAACTAAATTTTTTTTAAAATTCAATTCAAAAAATAATTTGTCATTTTGATCTAAAAAAATAATTTTTATATTTAAAAAATATCAAAAACAAATATAATTTTTTCTCTTCAAGTAACAGGTCGCGATTGGCAATTGAAAAAAGAAAAAGAAAAAATAGTACTGTTCCGGTCAACCAGCCAGACCACAGGCTGGACATCCGGCGAACGACCGGGTAGACTAAAAATTCTAAAACTGTCTGATTTACCAAACATATTTTTAAAATATATTTTGAAATTGATTTAAAATTCTGATTTAAAAACTCAAACTAAACATAGCATTAAAATATAAAAATAGAATTAATTTTAGAAAATTCTACCAAACGAAACTTAATTTTCTAAAATGAATCCTATTCAAACCAATCAAATTATTATTTTAACAGAATGATACATCCCTCTAATTTGGGAACTCTAAAAGAGTACTAGTGATATGAAAAAAAAAAAAAATCAAAGCTAAAATATCATATGGGAACTCTAAAAGAGCTCTAGTGATATGAAAAAAAAAAAAAATCAAAGCTAAAATATCATATCACATAAGACCCACATACCAATTAAAACTATTAAAACTTTTAATTTACAATGTTCAATTTTTTTATTAAAACTCTTAATTTAGAACTCCTAATTTTTAATTTTTTTTAATTTGTATTTAATTTTTTTATTTTTATTTTTATTTTTATTTAGGATGGAGGGAATGCGTTTTTTCAGACCCACTTCTAACGCAAAGTCTCTATTCCTATCTCTCTCGGAGTACGTTTTTTTAGACCCACTTCTAACGCAAAGTCACTATTCCTATCTCTCTCGATTTCGAATTTCTCTGTTCGGTTTGCGTCTTTCTCAGTTCACAGTCAACCAGAAGTCAAGGCTTTCTTCAACTCCGATCACCACCGCCGTGATCGCCGCCATGGAAGTCGGCGGCAGTGGTGGTGGAGGCTCTCTACCACTGTCGATTACTGAGCAGTTTTCTACTCTCTCGGTGGGTAGTGATGATGAATCCAGAGGTGGAGTGCATGAGACAGAACAAGACCCCAGGAAAATAGCAAGAAAGTAAAGTCCTTTTTTGTTTTCGTGGTTCATTCATGTAATTGCATTTTGTTTTATGGGTTTACTTTGAAATTTGTTTATGTCCAAGTTAGTTTGCTGAGTGGATGCTGAGAAAATGTAGGAAAATGAAAGAAAATAGAAGCGTCAGTCCCACATCAATTTTTTTTTTTGTTTTTTTTCATGGACCTGTTGAATTTACCCTGTGTTTGACTGGTAGGAAAAAGATGGAAAATAAATGAAAAGAAAATAATTATGTCCTAACTTGATATTGGGCTTATATGTTTTTGCATTTGCATTTTGTTTGCGGGTTTTCTGTGGTTCTTTCTTTTACTATGTTACAGTGCATTGAATTTTATGTTCTTGTTTGGTCACTGAGAAAATTGAGCACAAGAAAAAGGAAACTGAGATTAACAGAAACAGAACATTCAAAGGAAGAATTTTTTTGTTTTTTTTCATGGACCTGTTGAATTTACCCTGTGTTTGACTGGTAGGAAAAAGATGGAAAATAAATGAAAAGAAAATAATTATGTCCTAACTTGATATTGGGCTTAGATGTTTTTGCATTTGCATTTTGTTTGCGGGTTTTCTGTGGTTCTTTGTTTTACTATGTTACAGTGCATTGAATTTTATGTTCTTGTTTGGTCACTGAGAAAATTGAGCACAAGAAAAAGGAAACTGAGATTAACAGAAACAGAACATTCAAAGGAAGAACCTTTTAATATTATTTGTTTGATTTTTAGTTTATGAAAAAAAAAAAAAAAACCTGGATCAAAGTCAATTTATTGCATCAATTAAGCTTATTTCTAGTGTTGTTTCTGTGTCTACCCAAAATCTAACTCTAATTTTTCTTGTTTGTGTTGCGGAAGGAAAAAGGGAAAAAGGGAAAAAGTTGGAAAAGGGAAAAAGTTGGAAAAGGAAAAATTATACTTGAATTGATATAAGTAGTTGAATAATTTTTTGTTGAGTAAACAATCCGTTTTTTTGATCTCAACTGATGATCAATTCACTAATTGCCAGCGGAGAAAGCAAAATGTACTATATTTCTTTTCCTGTTGTTTTTTCTAGGTATCAGATGGATCTATGCAAGAAAGCTTTGGAAGAGAACATTATTGTGTATTTAGAAACAGGTTGTGGAAAGACTCACATTGCTGTGTTGCTTATGTATAAGATGCGCCACTTGATAAAGAAACCCCAGAAGAACATTTGTGTGTTTCTTGCGCCTACAGTGGCACTGGTTCAACAAGGTAATTCTTTTGGGGGTTTTTGTTATTCTTAGTTTGGCATACTTTTAGATTTGAATGGTGTTATACCTCATTCTGTTGACATATACATTTTCAACAATGTGGAACGGTTAGTTAGTCACTTATGCTGTATTTGGTTCATTGGAATGAGATGAAATAGACTGGAATGGTCATTCTTCAGGCTCACTTGTGGAATGACCATTCTCTTGCAATGGTGAATGATAACTCCATTTGCAATGCATTTTTCATTATTTTTTATAGCCAAACAAACATGGGAATGGACATGTTGATGGAATAATTATTTCATTCAAATAAACCAAATGCCACCTTTGGAAACGTGGTGCACACTAGTACTTCTGTAACAACCATATAGTGAACGGATTCTCTTTTTGATTCCAAGGTGGGGTTCATTATTTTAGGTGCATCTTAGGAACATGGTTTGGAAGAAGTCGTAAATCTAGCACCACTACATTTAGTCATTGGGATGATTGATTAATTAATGACATCAATAGGGGGGCAATTGTCGATAATTAAAACTCTGACTACTAACCTTTGGGGTTGTGGGCTTGAACTTGTGGACAGCCACTTTGTGTATATTATGCCAAACATTAGATTTGTATCTAATTTACTTCTCCCAAAGCCCTATCCATGTAAAGTGAAGTCCAACATTGCCTAGCTATGAAGCACAGACATGGACATGGATATGGGACACGACGATTTCCAAAAAATGGGGACACGGACACGGACACGGCAAATTTTATTTTGTTTTATTTTTTTATATATTTTTATGTGTTATGTAGATTCATATTACATTCATCCTAAATCAAAATTAACAAACACTAACATAGTAACATTAATTCAATAAATATAAACACTACATTTAAACAATTAATAGATCATGTTGGAATTAGAAAATAGTGATATTATAATTATGGTAGTGTTGGAATTAGGAAACAGTGATATTGTAATTATGGTAGTGTGTATAAAATTTGTGATTGTGTCAAATCACAGATTTAATACATTTTTATCTTCATTTCCTATTTTGTTTGTTTCCTATTTTGTTCGTTTCTTATTTTGTAATATTGTTTCATTATAAATACAAGGCTCTACCTCATTCATAGGTAAGCCAAATAATTCTTTTCATTCTTTTTGGTATTAGAGCCAAAACACAAAAACTCTAGACCACCCCCTCCTCCTTATTGGCCCCTGTTCTTCACTGCTTAGTAGTTTCTTCATCTTCTTTCTTCTTCCTCCAGTAGCCAACAGACCTCCTCTTCCCTCTAGACCACCTGACAGCCTAACCCACCACTCCTAGACCACTTACCCACCCTTCTATACCCCTCGGCAGGACTGTATTACACCTGCCGAGGGCCTTGCTGCTGTTGCCAACTAGGTCTCTTCCTGTCCTAGAGCACTTCAACTAGGTCTTCCCCTAGCTTAGATCGGTTCGATACCCTCTTTAGGGTGATTTGAACCCTTTTTTCTCCCTTTTATAGGGTGTAGCTCTGATACTTTAAGCACTTTAACCGTTGAGTTTTTTCCGGCTTTTCTGGTTGTTTAGTCGGACTGTGTTGCTGTGTTGCTGTCTATTTCAGCCCTCATTATCTCCCCATGGATAACTTATCTTCTACCATTCTTACTGAGGTATCTACTGCAGTCTCCACCAAACCTGTGCTTGTTCCAAGTACTAATTTTTCTCTTTCCCATCACACTCCTATTCATTGTATTACGAGTGTGTTGTTGAATGGGAAAAATTTTGCTGGTTGGAGCTGTTCCCTTAAACTCTACCTTGGAGGAAAGGGAAAGGCCCATTGGCTTTTATCTACTATTATTCTGCCAGCTGCGACAGACCCTACACGTGCTCAGTGGGATATCGATAACTGCACTATATTGGGATGGATGTTCAATTCCATGGAAGATCGAATTTATCATATATTCCTTTATTGCGATACAGTTCCGAGTTTGTGGCAGGCATTGTCATAGATGTACGCTCATGCTCACAATGATGCACGTATCTTCAAGCTTTACCAAGATATAGCCCGGGCCTCTCAGTCCTCTCTTAGCCTTTTTATAGCAGAATTCTTTGGCTATCTTCAGGCTCGTTAGGAGGAACTTGCTCAATATGAGCCTTTGACTGACCTTCCATCAGAAGCCGCCTTCCTTGTGTCCAAGAGGCTTGCCTGATAGCGCACTTATTAGTTTCTCATGGATTTAAACTCAGAATTTGAATTTCTTCGAATTCAGATTCTTAACACATCACCCATGCCATCTCTTTATGAGGCTTTTGCCACTATTGACAGTGATGAGCGTCGCCGGTGATTGGTTTAGCCTAGTGTTCCTTTAGTACCTCCAGTTTTAATAGATCAGATGGCTCTTGCTGCGAGTTTTGGTTCTCGAAGTTCCACTGGTTTTGTTACTTGTCATCATTGTGGCGCGCCCTGGACATGTCAAAGCTCGTTGTTTCAAACTTCATCCTAAGTTAAGGCAATGCCCTTCCCGACCTCGCGGTCCTGTTACACGTAGTTTTGGCTCTGCTTGCATTGCTGCTTTGGTAGAAGTTACTCCTGCTTCTGAGCCTCCTAATGTTCCTAATCTACAGCAGTTACAAACTCAAATTGGTCAGCTTCAGGCCCAACTTGGGTCTCTCACCATCGGTTCTCTTGGTCCATCATCCTCTACTGCCACCCTTGCTACAGGCAAGGTTGTTAAGATCGGGATCCTACACGGGATCGTTTTAGGGGTCTGTCGGATCGGATCGTAGAATCGGATCGAGGATCGTAAGATCCTACTAAAATGATAAAAAAATACAATAATTTTTATAAGACTAAATAATAATATCAAAATATATATAGAATAAGCCCCAAAAAGAAATATAACAACTCTTAAATGCAACAAATGCTCTGAATCTTTATTTTGGTTACTTGAATCTGATTCAACAATTGCTCTGGGAGCACTGATTCAATTATATGCTCTGTTTCATTCAGTGGTTACTCTTAAATAATTAAATATCCTATTAAAGATTCACTCAGAACCAAAAATAAATAAATAAATAAATAAATTAGAACCAAAAATAAAATAAATAAATCAGAACCAAAAATAAATTAAATAATTAAATATCCTATTAAAGATTCACTCAGAATCAAAAATAAATAAATAAATAAATCAGAACCAAAAATAAAATAAATAAATCAGAACCAAAAATAAATTAAATAATTAAATATCCTATTAAAGATTCACTCAGAACCAAAATAAATAAATAAATAAATCAGAACCAAAAATAAATAAATAAATAAGAGCCCAAAAAAAAAAAATCACCGAAGGAAAGAAGTGATTCATTGAAGAAAGAAGGAGAGATCAGATCAATGAAGAAAGAAAGAAGAGCTGCTGAGCAGCGAAGAAAGAAGAAGAGTCTTCGAATTCGAAGAAAAAAAAAAACAGAGCAGCAGACACCTGGAGTGGAGTCGTAGTGAAGAAGAGAGAGGGAGAAGAAGAAGAAGAAGAAGAAGAAGAGAAAGCAGCGTACCTGGAGTCGTTTGCCCAGGTCAGGCTTCATTTGATGTTGAATGATTGAATCTCTTTCCCCAGGTCAGTCTTCTTTCTTCGTTTGCCCTAATCTGCTTTGCTTCTCTCATTTTAGGTCCCGATTTGGGCTTTAAGTTGCCCAAAAAATGCTTTAAATCTGGATCGCATGGAGTCGCGATCCAGATGCGATCCTACCGATCCTGTCGATCCCAGCACGATCCCATCACGATCCTGCTCTGGGGTCGATCCAATGTATGATCCGGATCGAATAGTATATAATAAGTCGTAGGATCGTACGATCCTACGATCCGGTTCGCGATCTTAACAACCTTGCTCATTTCCCTCTTCCTTTTAATCAAAACCCCCAAAACCTATCACCATTCCTAACCTTAAACCAATCCAACACACCATGCCAATCACCAACTCATCACTGGACCGACACGTTGCCGTCCTCGTCTTCCCATTTTCCTCCCACCCCACCCTAATCCTCGGCCTCGTCCGCCGTCTAGCCACCGCGGCTCCCGACGTGACCTTATCTTTTTATAGCACTGCAAAGTCTATTTAGTATTTACTCTCATCGTCGCCAATCCCTGAGAACATAAAAGCTTGCCATGTTTCGGATGGAGTACCAGATGGGTATGTGTTGGCGGGGAAGCATCAGGAGGACATTAACTTGTTTTTGAAGGTGGCGGAGGAGAACTTTAAGAGAGCTATGGTGGTGGCGGAGGAGGAGACCGGGTGGAGGATTAGCTGCTTGGTGGCGGATGCTTTTCTGTGGTTTTCCGGCGACATGGCGGAGGAGATGCGAGTTCCGTGGGTTCCACTTTGGACGTCGGCTGCATGCTCCCTGTCAACCCATTGCCACACTGATCTCATTAGGGAGACTGTTGGAATCCATGGTATGAAAATTAAAATTATGACAAATTAAACTAATAGTCTCTATATGATTTTGTGTTATTTTGATCCTTATAATTTTAATTGACTTGATTTTGATCATAAATTTATTATTAGTATTATTTATGAAAAATATGTAAATAACTAATATGTACTATATTTCTAGAAGTAAAATTATAAATTTATTTAATTCAGTGAATTGACTTTAATCAATCAATCCCCTTATGCTGTGTTTGGTTGGGGGATTTGTGGAGGAATTTGAAAAGAGAAATGGAAAAGGTAGGTGAAATGTAAATAAAACATGCCTATATTTCACCTACTTTCACACACTTTTTTCCTTTCCCTTTCCAAATCCCTCCCCAAATCCCGTAACCAAACACAGCATAATTAATGATTATTTTTTGTCAAAAATTTCAATGACTTTATCAATTTGATCAAATTGACATAAAATTAAAAATTAAAATTAAGTCCATTGATAATATAAGGATAAAAACTAGGACTACCGTTAACTTGTCCTTAAAATTACTACTAGATGCCAATACTTCAATTCTCTCTCCCGTTATAAGTTTATTTATTTTAATATTTCTAAAAATAATGTCACATAAATAGAACCTCTGTATCTTGTATGTATATA